TCAAGTGAAATAACAGGAGGAACTTACTTAGTGTGCAATGTTCACAATCAAGGCAAAAGTAACAGTAACTAAAATACAAACCTGGTCAAGATTTTTCGAAAATAACCATATGATTGGAGAAGCTAATGTTCTTAATAACCAATGCGTTTCACGGCCCAATTCTGTACCGCCAACGAATCCTGGTCGAAGCGCATAAACCTTTGTAGAGCATTTATTTGCAGATAGCCTCCTAAAAGAGAAACTCATTTAATTCTGAAGATTTTCAAAGTAAGAGTTTGAATGGATGGCCATTGTACTGAGCTCCGCCTATAATTGATAATATAATAATTTTCAAAGAAACGATTTCTTTAAAGAGAGAGGTCAACTTTTTAATTCATCCGATTGATGCAGAACCAAATCGAATATAAATTCTGCTATACATCAATGGTAAATGGTGTCATGATCGAAAGCAAAAAAAAGTTCACACCTTGCTAACTCCACTGCATGTAAACAATTAGCCAACTTGCTAAGACCATATGCAAATCGTGGGTGATAATCCCAGTCTTGTTCACCCATCAGCTGTCGAAGAGTGGGAATGTGATTCACCTAAAATAAACAGAACATCTTAGAGAAAGGAAATGAAGGAAGATTTTATGCGAGGGCGTACTAGGGACATGCCCTGATTGTTTTATTGACATACCTTTATCTGAACAAATATTGAAATCATTCAATTTTTACAAGCAGATGAAAAAAGGAATCCTTCGCCAAAAAATATTTTCAGACTCTAGTCCGTTTTGCTCTTTTAAATAAATAATTGAGCAACCATCGCGCATACGCCTTTCGCGCACGCTTCAATCGACCAATTAAGCTGTCAAGATGCGTGTAATGTCGCAACCGCCTTTTCAGTGGCTACTTGGAGCAAAGGACTAGTGCATTTGTAAAATAACACAGTTACTATGCGCAAATATGAATTCCAGCAGATTTGAACGTTCATGACCAGTGAATACTTTTCTTTATTCCACTTGCTATGTGAAAACTCTTTCCAGCAGATCGTACTCTGTAAGCT